CCCTCTGCATGGAATGTCCTTGGAACACTTCTTGGGCTAACCTTTCAGGTCACTCATTCATTCAACAAATATATTGAGGGCCAGATGCAGTGGCTTATGCCTGTAATCCAGAGTCTTAGGGGGCCAAGGCCGGAGGATCGCTTGAGGCTAGGAGTTCAAGACCAGCCTAACATAGCAAGATCTTGTTTCTACAAAAACTATAAAAATCAGCTAGGTGTGGGGGTGCATGCCTATAGTCCCATCTACTCAGCAGGCTGAGGTGAGAGGATGGTTTGAGCCCAGAAGTTTGAGGGTGCAATGAGTGATGATCATGCCACTGCACACCAGCCTGGGCAACAGAGTGAGACCCTGACTCAAAAAAAAAATTAGACTGGGCGCGGTGGCTCACGCTTGTAATCCCAGCACTTTGGGAGGCCGAGGTGGGTGGATCATGAGGTCAGGAGATCGAGACCATCCTGGCAAACACGGTGAAACCCCGTCTCTACTAAAAATACAAAAAAATTAGCCGGGCGTGGTGGCGGGTGCCTGTAGTCCCAGCTACTCAGGAGGCTGAGGCAGGAGAATGACTTGAACCTGGGAGGTGGAGCTTGCAGTGAGCGGAGATCACGCTACTGCACTCCAGCCTGGGTGACAGAGCGAGACTCTGTCTTAAAGGAAAAAAAAAAAAAAAATTAGTGAGCACCTACTATGTGTCAGACATGATCGTAGGTCCTGCAGCAAAGCAATACATAAAGAGGAAATAGGCATAACAAGAAAATACACAGTACAGCAGATGGTGAGCAGTGACGCAGGCAGATGGTGCGGGGTTACTACTTTAAGCAGGATGGTCAGAGAAGGCTTCATGGAGAAGGTGACTTTTGAGTAGACAGCTGAAGTGAAGGAGGGGCCAGGTGGCTTTCTAGGGGCAGAGCACTCCAGGCAGAGGGAACAGCCAGGGAAAAGGCCCTGAGGAGGGAGCCTACCCAGGGGAACTGGGACATGTTCCAGTGTTACTGGAGCAGAATGAGGGAGGAAGTCATGGGAACCAAGGCCAGAGAGGGTCAGAGGTGTGGGGCAGATCTCGCAGGAGCCTGTAAGACCTTGGGTTTTACCCTGAGTGCGGTGGGAGTGTGGCAGCTGCTGAGCGGGGAGTGGCGTGAGCTGCCTTGGGTTTGAACAGGACCCCGTGGCTGCCTGGCTGATGAGAGTAGTCAGGGGTGAGGGCGGGAGCTGGGAGCCCAGTGATGACGCTGGCTGGATCAAGGTGACAGGTGAGGAGTGGAGAGAAGGGGCTGAATTCAGGCTATACTGAAGGCAGGACCAACAGGATTTTCCAGATGGGTGAGATACAGAGTGTTAGAAAGCCAAGTGTCAAGTATGACTCCAAGATTTGAGGCCTGAGCTTAGGGTATGGATGACCCCTCTTCAGGAAGTCCTCCTGGGGAGCCCACAGCTCGCCGGACCTTGCCTGTTTGCCTCTGAGGCTGGGGGCTCCCGTGGTGGGACTTGTTTCCCGTCCTGCTGCCACAGTGCTGGATAAGTGAGAGGGGAGAGGCGGAGGCAGGCTGAGCTGGGGCCCTGCCCTCGGCTGTGTGAGGTCCATCACTGCTCCTTTCACCTCTCTAGGGACCTGTGTTTTCCCACTTGCACAAGGCGAGTGGGTGCTCTCCAAAAGTTCCTCTAGCTGTAACCCAGTTTCCTCCCTAGGAGCGGGCACTGCCAGCTTCCTGAGCCCCCAGGCCTTCTCTCCTACTCCCTGCCCAACCTCAGCCTCGTGGGAACATCGGAGTATCTTCCTTCCCCTCTGGGACGCACAGGGCAGGTTGGGACACGTGGCTGGGGCCTGAGTCAGCCTCACCAATGTGGGTGGAGGGGGTACCTGGGACACGTCCCCTCCTCCCTTCCCAGAGCTTGGTACAGCCAAGGGTGGCACAGCTGCCCCCATTTCACTGGCTCCTGGAGTCCAAGGGCATGGCTGTGGCCCTGAGGCAAGGCCAAGCATGTAGCTGCCCCACCTGCCCCCCTGTAGTGCTGTAGGGAAGAGTCAAGTCAGACAGGAAGGCCTGGGGCAGATAGCACCAGCAGGAAGGAATGCCATCCCAGTGAGCGAGTGGGGCCCAGGGGCAACGTCACGGTAGTCCCGCCCTCCTTGCTATCACAGGTGCAGCCTGTCCTGTCCTTCCCCTGACCAACCCAGCATCCACACAGTCTACACAGAGTTCCTCTTGCTGCCCAGACAAGCTAAAGGACCACAGGTAATGGGACATGGGGCTGGGTGAGCAGTGGGGTGGAGGGTCAGCTTTTAAGGAAATTGGGAGAAAGAGTATCCTCAATAGGCTTGATATTGTGTGGTTCCTTGGTGGACATGGGTTTGAGTCCCAGCTCTGCATCTTCCTAGCTGGGTGAGAACTTGTCTCTACCTCAGGGGAGGATGACAAATATTCACCTCTCTGGGTTGTATTGAGGCTTCCACCCGCCTATACTTGGCCGTGGTAGGTGACCAGCTCCCAATTCTGTCACCAACTTGCTGCAAGACATTCAGAAAAACCCTTGACCTCTCTGAGCCTCAGTTTCCCTACTTGTGAAATGAAGGGTCCAACTAGATCTCTGAAGGCCCCTCACACCCTCGCTGTTATGGAACCTAACAGCTTAGGAGGGGAGGGGCATTCCCGCAAATGTCTCAGCCTCTGCACCACCATCAGTGACTGCAGGCAGCCGCCCCTCTCTCTGCCCCTCCTGGAGGAAGCCACCCTGAGCTGCCAGCCAGGTTTGGGAGACTTGGGAGGAAGAAGCCAGCTGTCCCCCTGCTTCCAGCTCAAAGGCACCCCGGGGAGGATGTGCCAAACAGAAAGCTGGGCCATGGGGAGGGGACCCTGCTGCCTGTCAGAGCCTCAGGCGCAGGTGATGTGGCCCAAGGGGAGGGGGGCTTGGCAGACCTCTCAGAGCTCCCCCCACCCATCCCCCTAGGCTGTCATCCTCGTCCTAGAGCTGCCTCTGCTCAAAACACTCTGGCTTTCAGGCCTCAAGCCAACCTAGTTTCCATTTAAGGGGGATGAGAATGATTATGGTCTTGTGCTTATTATTTTCTTCTGTTTTGTTAAGAAACTGCCCAGAAGAGTTCAGAGCCCTGACTAATGAGTCGGGAGTGTGTGTTAGGGGGAGTGGTGGGGAGTGAACTCAGGCTAGTGTAGCCCTAGAGCACCAGGTTACTTGTGCTGGGAAATCCTCCTTGTGAAAAGGATCAGAGAGCGAGATCTCAAGTGCTGGCTGCACGCCAAGGACCATGCTGGGCCTGCCCTGCTCCCCGCCTTCTTTCACTTTCACAACAACCCTGTGGGTGGAGTCTTTCCTTTTTCTTTTTGTTTCTTCTTTTTTTTTTTAAATAACAGATTTACTGAGATGTAATTCACTACTATAAAATTCACCCTTTAAAAGTGTATAATTCAGGGCCAGGCGGCGTGGTTCACCTGTGTAATCCCAGTACTTTGGGAGGCTGAGGCGAGCAGATCACTTGAGGTCAGGAGTTCGAGACCAACCTGACCAACATGGCAAAACCCCATCTCTACTAAAAATACAAAAATTAGCCAGGCATGGTGCGCACCTGTAATTCCAGCTACTCGAGAGGCTGAGGTGTGAGAATCACTTGAACCCAGGAGGCAGAGGTTGCAGTGAGCCAAGATTGCACCACTGTGCTCCAGCCTGGGTGAGAGGGAGACTCTATCTCAAAATAAATAGATAGATAGATAGATAGATAGATAGATAGATAGATAGATAGATAGATAAAAATGAAGTGTACAATTCAGTGTTTTTGTGCATTCACAGAGTTGTGCAGCCAGTGCCACTATCTAATTTTTTTTTATCATCTCCAAGGTGAACCCTGTACCATTTAGCCGTCACTCCCCACTTCCCCTTCCCTCTGGCAACAACAAACCTACTTTCCATCTCTATGGATTTGTGTATTCTGGACATTTCATCTGAATGAAATCATATGGTGTGTGGTCCTTTCCGAGTGGCTTCTTTCGCTTAGCCCAATGTCGTCAAGGCTCATCCGCATTGCAGTGGGTGTCCATCCTTCCTTCCTTCCTTGCCCTGGTTGGATGAAGGTTGCATTGTATGATGAATCTCAAACTTTGTGTCTCCATTCTACCCAGGGGATGGCATTTTGGGCTTGTTTTCCATTTTTTTGAACTGATTATGGGTAATGCTGCTACTAAACATTCATTACAAGTCTTTGTCCGCATATAGGTTTTCATCTCTCACGAATATACTAGGGATTGGAATTGCTGGGTCATGTAGTAAATCATTTTTTAACTTTTTGAGGAGCTGCCAAACTGTTTTCCAAGTGACCTCCATTTTACAATCTGACCAGCAATGTATCAAGGGCTCCCGGTTTCTTCGCACCGTCACCAATACTTTGTTACTGTCTGTATGTCTCATCGTAAGCCACCCTGTGGGTGTAAGGGGTATCTCATGGTGGTTTTGATTTTGCATTTCCTAATCGACTAATGATGTGGAGCATCTCTTTTTTTGTTTTTTTTTTTGAATTGGAGTTTCACTCTTGTTGCCCAGGACTGGAGTGCAATGATATGATCTCAGCTCATTGCAGCACCCTTTGCCTCCCAGGTTCAAAGTGATTCTCCTGCCTCAAGCCCTCCCGAGTAGCTGGGATTCACAATGCACCCGCCACCGATGCTTGGCTATTTGGTATATCTTTTTAGAAGAGACGGGGTTACTCCATGTTGGTCCGGCTGGTCTCGAACTCCACCGACCTCAGGTGATCTGCCCGCCTCGGCCTCCCAAATTGCTGGGATTACAGGCATGAGCCACCGTACCCAGCGATGTGGAGCATCTTTCTATGTGCTATTGACTATTTCTGCGTCTTGTTTCGAGCAATGTCTATTCGAGTCCCCTGTCCATTTTTAAACTGGATTATTTGTCACTGTCTGTTGAGTTGTAGGCATGCCCATTTTTCCAGCTAAGGATTCTGAAGCTCTGAGAATGGATGTGGCACGCTCCAGGTCGCAGAGTCAGTGAGGGGTCGAACTGAATATCTAGGTCTGTCTGATGTTCGAGAGAACTGACAAGCTCTTGTACTGGATGCCACCTTTCTGTTTCTTATTGTCAGTTGTGTGTGTGTGTGTGTGTATGTGTGTGGTGTGTGTTGTGAGAGAGAGTGAGTGTGTGTGTGTGTGTGAGTGAGAGAGAGGGAGAGAGAAAGAGAGAGAGAAAGAGAGGTGGGTAGAAACCGAGAGAGAAAGATGGGAAAGAGAGAGAAACAGAGACTGAGATTCCAGGGACCTGCCTGGCTCTGTCTAGCGGGGCACCCACCTTGGTGCCTTGGTGTTTGACTCAACACTACACCAAGTTAGGACGATCAGAGCCAGAGAAAGCCTTTAATGAGTTTTAGGTTTCTTCCTATTAATCTTCAAATGTGTCAGTGGAGCCTCAAAAATATTTTGTGGAGTGCATACTCCCCTTCTAGTTTTCCTTGTCCCTAAATCTGAAACAAATTATCCGATTAGACCCAAAAACCCCAAACCAGGACTAGCATCCCCTAGTGTCTAGCTAGGTCTAAGGATCTAGAGCAGCACTCATTTAACTTTTTGATTGCACAATCTTCTCAAGAAGAATGCTCTGGGCACCCCCAGCATATACATATGCATAAATATATACATGTATATACAAGTATAGTGGCCATTAGCTGATGTCTCAGGACCAGTGTACGTTCACAGTGAATTTCATCACCAGTGATAGTGGATGGAAATCCACCTTTCAAATCGTTTCTCATTATTATTTCAGGAACGCAAATACAATTGTATTTGAGTTTGAGTTTGTATTTGTTTCTCGTTATTATTTTGTATTTTGAGTTTGTATTTGTTTCTCATTTTTTCAGGAACTCAAATACACAGGAAAGAATTGTTTTGTGTGTGAGATTCCTTTCCATTGCTCTTTCCAACGTGGTAATGTGGCTAAACTAAGAGCAAGGACAAGTCTGTCCCACACTTTTCCTGTTGCTTGTTTGTACTTTCGTGATTAGGGTTATCTCCATCCGCAGTTTCTTTGCAGACTCTTTGAAGTCACTTGTCAACAATAAGGGGGCTGATTCAGTGAAAGCTATTTCATTTGAGCCTCAAATTAACCCAACTGGGCTCCTGCACACCACAATATATGGCAATAGTCTGAATGTAGAGAAAAGGAAGACGTGGTCACAGTCAACCTGTCTGCCTTGTGGGGCTCCCCACTGGCCTCTGGGAGCCCCACTTAATGGACATGACATGTGGTGTCTGACATATGATCCAAGGGTGCACATCAGGGCTAACCTATATACTGTTAACTATTTTTTAGTTAAAAATTACATAGAAATCGATAAATTAATATTTTCCTCCTGTACTTTGGAGAGAATTGCTTGAGAGACTAATAGGTTCTGAGCTAAGAACATCTAAGCCAACCCCTGCCACTCCTCAACTTGCCACCTCACATGGCAGCGTGCTCAGGACAACCCCAAAGTTGTTGTCATTTTTAGAATATTATTTTATATATTGAGGCCAGGTGCAGTGGCTCAGCACAACACTTTGGAAGGCCAATCCCAACACTTTGGGAGGCCGAGGCAGGAGAATTGCCCAGGGTCAACAGTTTAAGGCTGCAGTGAGCCATGTTTGCTTCACTGCACTTGAGCCTAGGTGACAAAGTGAGACCCTGTCTCTAGAAAAGAAGGAAGGAAGGAAGGAAGGAAGGAAGGAAGGAAGGAAGGAAGGGGAAAGGAAAGGGGAAGGAAGGAGAGAGAGGAAGGAAGAGAAAAAGAAAGAAAGAAAAAGAAAGAGAAGGAAAGCAAGAAAGAAAGAAAAAAGAAAGAAAGAAAAGAAAGAAGGAAAGAAAGAAAAAGAAAGGAAGAAAGAAAGGAAGGAGGGAAGGAGGAGGGAAGGAGAGAGAGGAAGGAAGAGAAAGAAAGAAGGAAAGAAAAAGAAGGAAGGAAGGAAGGAAAGAAAGAAAAAGAAAGAAAGAGAAAAGGAAGAAAAAAAGGAAGAAAATTATTTTATATATTGAAGTTGGCAACTTCCCTGGTGACTTCCTCAAGGTACTGACCTTTCCTTCTGAGCTCACAGCCCTACCTGCTCCCCCTGTCCTGGAGTCCTGGAGTAGTTCTGCAGAGACTTGGGGACAGTGACTAGGCCCATCCATGTGGAGCTCATCCCTAGGTTGAGTGCCCTGCTCCCCAAGCCACTTTTCTTGGGTATAGTCTCTGTACCCACTACATCCTCTGGATTCCCTTTGTCTGTCCAGAACTTATTCTATGCAGGACCCAGGAGTAAACCCAGGATGGAGGATTGGGGATGGTGGGATGTGGGCCACCTTCTTCACCGTAGACTCTGTGCTTCTGTTAATATGACCTAAGGCTATGGTAGCTTTGCTCTGTAGCTATATCACCTTGTTGGCTCATATTGCCACTTTAACAAACATTGGTTGTGCACCTACTATGTGCTAGACAACAACCTCGATGCTTGCACTGTTTTCTTTCCTTCCAGATTATCTTTTTAAAATCCTAGATCTTTGAGTATACCAGCCGTCCACACAGAACCCAACCATCCTCTTCTGTACAGCCTTATTATTATTATTCCTTTTTTTTTTTTTTTTTTTTTGAGACAGAGTCTTGCTCTGTCACCCAGGCTGGCGTGCAGTGTGCCGGTCTTGGCTCACTGCCAGATCTGTCGCCTCCAGGTTCACCGACCATTCTCCTGGCCTCAGCCTCTCTGAGACTGGACGACAGGGCCCCCACCCGTGCCGGTTAATTTGTTGCTTTTTAGTAAACACGGGTTTCCCACTCTGTTAGCCAGGATGGTCCAATCTCTTGACCTTAGTGATTTGCCCATGCCCCGGCCATTCCAAGTTGCCTGGGATTACAGCGCGTGAACCACTGCGCCTGCCTTGTTTTTGTTTTGTTTTTTGTTTTTTTGAGACGGGTCTCGCTCTGTCACCCAGGCTGGAAAGTACAGTGGCACCATCCAGCCCACTGCAACCTCTGCCTCTGGTTCAAGCATCTCCTGCCTCAACTCCCCAGGTAGCTGGGACTACAGGCAACGGCCAAACACATCCGGCTTATTTTTTGTACTTTTAGTAGAGGCCAGGGTTCACATACTGTAGCCAGGATGGTCTCGATCCTCCTGACCTCGCTGATCCTGCCCACCTCAGCCCTCCCAAAGTGCTGAATTACAGGCGTGAGCCAACCTGCCCCTGGGCCACAGCCATTATTTTTAAACTTGGGTATCACAACTTGATTTTCCCCTTTTCACTTTTTAGTTGTTAGCCTAGGTGCCATTCCACCACTCCTCAGGGGCAACCCAGGTCCTGTCTGCATCCTTGGGTATGCAGTGGCCATAAGGCTCCCCAGATTCATTGGAAGTTCATCTTAGTACAGTCCCAGCTGGATGGCCGGCCAGTGCGGCTTGTCATCCCACTATTAAACTGCCTGGCTGACTTAACGAAATGGTGGAGGTGTAAACCGTAGCATCTTCTTTCCTTCCCCTCTGCACGGTTCCCCTCACACTCTGATGTTGATGGTTGATGTGTTCATATCCACACTCCTTCACTGTTGGGTCTTGAGCAAGTCCTTTTCCCTTTCTGGGTTCCAGTTTTGTATCTCCGGAATGCAACACTATAAGAATTCCAACTTGGGGAGAGACCTCCAAGCCTGGAGATCTGTGGGGAGGTAAGGTGGGCCTGGGGGAGAGTAGTGAGAAAGAAGAAGGGGTGTAAACAAGTGGAAGATGCTATAAGAGGAGAGGGAGATACAAAGAATCTTTGTAGTCCTAATATTATTTCTTTTTTTATTATTTATTTATGTATTTATTTATTTTGAGATGGAGTCTTGCTCTGTCGCCTAGGCTGGAGTACAGTGGTGTGATCTCAGCTCATTGCAAGCTCCGCCTCCTGGGTTCGTGCCATTCTCCCACCTCAGCCTCCCGAGTAGCTGGGACTATAGGCACCTGCCAGCATGCCCGGCTAATTTTTTTTTGTGTGTGTGTGTGTGTGTGTGTATGTGTTTTTTAGTAGAGATGGGGTTTCACAGTGTTAAGATGGTCTCGATCTCCTGACCTCGTGATCCGCCCACCTCGGCCTCCCAAAGTGCTGGGATTACAGGCGTGAGCCACTGCGCCCAGCCTCCTAATATTATTTCTTTAAGCTCTTAAGTTCAGCACTTTGTGACTTCTTTTAATTAAGCATTTTGTCTAAGCCAGGGGCTAGAATGTAGCCGGGAGCCAGAAAAACATGGTTTCTACTTCCAGGGAGCTCAGAATCTAAGTCCTTTTAATCTCAATCCTCACAGCAACCCTGCAAGACAGTGACACTATCCCTAATTTACAGATGAGATAACAGAGGCCTGGAGACGTAAAGTAATTTTCCAAAATCATGAGCTGGGAAGTGAAGTACTTAAGCCTGACTTGAAGCAGGTGCTACCAGACCCCGTTGTCCCACTGGCTTCATCAGGGCATCCATCAGTATCGCCCCCTGGGTAAGGACATGATATTGCGTCCTGTGCTATCCAAAACCCCATCTGAGCCCCAGAGCCCTTAGTGTGTGACGTTATTCCCTGTTTGATGGATGAGATAAAGGGCCTAGAGAAGGGAATTGAAGGAGAAGCAGCTGCACTAGCAGCAGCAGCAGCAGACTTTCCACTCGAACCTCCAAAAAGGGACACAGCTCTGTCAACACGTCGATTTTAGCCCAGTGAGACCTACGTTGGACTTCTGACCTGCAGAACTGTGAGATAATTTGTGTGGTTTTAAGCCACTAAGTTGGTGGGTGTTTGTTATCACAGTGATAGAAAAACCACTGAGGTGCTGAACCAGGTCCAAGAGGTGCACCTTCAGCAGGGGGACAAGTCTCTAGGGCAGGATCATCAGGGCTGCTGCTGCTTTGGTGATCACAATGCTGGAAGATGAGGGAAAGGAGGGGACTGGGGAAACCCAGGAGGTCCCCAACCCAGCCTGAAGTTCAGCCCCAGCCCCTCATATGGGGGCTCAGGGACACTGCCAAGCCTCAGCCTGGAGGCTGGAGTGAAGTCTGTGGAGCTGGTCTGCCATGAGCCCTGTTGAGCTCTGCAGGAAGCTGGAGCCCTCCCCAGACATTTGTCTCAACTACAGTGCTTTGGTTGCAAGTCACAAAGCCACCTCAGGCTACGAAAAAAGACTTTCCTGGGAAGATAAGGAGGTGGGGGTGGGTCTCACAGAACAGAGGGAAAGGTAAAAAACAAGACTGCAGAAGAGGCTGTGACCAGGGGGGCAGAATAGAGAGCACCAGCCTCTTCAGGGCTCTGTCTCAGGGCAAACCACCCATGCCAGCCTTTAGAGCTCTGGGTCACTCATGTCACAAGTCAGATTCCTGCGGAAAGAGAGGCTGATGTTCTAACCTGGGTAATGGGAGTGACCACTCCACAGATTCCATGTAAAAGGGGCTTAGGGAGGGAGTGCAGTTATTTTGGGGAGTACTTATTTTGGAGCTGTGATTGCATAACAAGGATCTGTTTGAGGCTGGGCGCGATGGCTGATGCCTGTAATCTCAGCACCCTGTCTCAAAAAACCAAAACAAAAACGAAAAAGGGTCTGTTTGAAATCAGAGTGCGTGCTTGTCTGGGGTGGCTTGGGAAGCTGAAGGAGATTACTCAGAACACTGTTGTACCCTTGGCTCTGCCCTTGGCCTTGTCCCCACCCCTCAGCCAGGGAGGGCTTGACACATCGAGGGCCAGCCCCAAGCTGTTGTCCAGTGGGGGCTGGATTTCCTCAAAGCGAAATCCTGTGTAATCACCAGAAGATGGGGGCTTTCACGCCAGGTGGGCAAAAGCAGCAAATGTCCATTCCTCTGTCCACTCTGTTCCCCTCCCAGCTGCTGTTTCTGCTTCCAGAGCTCCCACCCCATTTCCCACACTGGGCTTGTTTAGCTGAGCTTGCCCTGCATTTCTGGCCCACAGACACGTTCCTCGGTCTACCCTCAGGAAAAGTTGGCCATCTTCAGTTTGGCATTCAAGGCCCAGGCTGATCTTCTCCACCCTTTCTGGCTCTTACCCCTTCAACTGCCTGCTGCCCCCAACCTCCTCCACTGAAACTTTTATCCTACTCTGCCTTTCGCTTTCTGTTGAAATCCAATTCCGTTTCAGTCACTTCAGCCCCCTCATCCAATATGGGACACCAGGAAGACAAGCAGCCCCTGAATCAAGAAGCAGGGTTCTGGAGCTGTTACCACACAATCAATGGGCTCACCGCCCAATGCACATAGAGGCCAATACCATGGCACTGGCTTTTGAGAAAAGAAAGGCTTTATTACAAGTCCAGTGGCAAGGAGATAGGAGGAAACACTCAAATCTGTCTCACCAAGCTGGGAGCTGGGCAGGTTTTATAAGCATACGGTAATGAGGTATGATCTGATTGGATCTTGCAATGAAGTGATGTGGGAGGCATGATCTGATTGGATCCTGCCATGGGGCGATACCAGAGCTTGATCTTATTGGATACTGAATCCTGGCATGCGCTATCTGCTTCTTAATTCAGTCCCCACTCCTCAGTCTGAGCACTTAGGTTCCCCTGTAGTGGCACGCATAGTAACCTGGCATGCTCAGGTTATGTGACTGTCAACCTGCGGGTCCATGGCAACTGAAAAACAACTCACAATTTGTTACATAAAAGTTGAACCAAATTGATCTGATGTGATGAAAGAGCCAGCCTTGCCCCTGTGTGGCTCCATGACCTGTGCAAGTTCCTCTCCATTTCAGGGCCTTGGTTTCCTCTTCTGTAAAGTATGACAATAATCTCCACCCTGCCTCTCTCCTGGTTGTATGAGAGTCAGGAGAGCTGGGAGAGGAGAGTGCTATGAGGCTGTCATGGCTCAGTGTGCTCTGTCAGCCCTCCTGCCCTGGGCCCAGGCTCTGTGACAGCAGGAGCTCAGGAAATCTGGGCTCACCTGAAGGGGAAATCCAGTTTAGCAGGACCCGTGGATACAGAGGCCCTGGCACCACCCATGACTCAGCAGGGCTGGGCTTTTTGGAGAAAAGTGCCAGAAAGTCAGGCATTCCATTTCCTTGTAGGATCAGCCTTGGATGTGGGGGCCACCTGAGGTGGTGCTAGAGGCCTCTAATCAGGGGGTAGCTGGGGCATGAAGCTTCTCTGTTGGGGTGGGAGTCAGATTTGAATCCATCTATAAGCTGGAAGACCTTGAACAAGTCTCTTCCTCTACCTCAGCCTCAGTCCTTCCCTATGTTAAATAAGACCTGTGTGGAGGCCGGGGGTGGTGGCTCATGCCTGTAATCTCAGCGCTTTGGGAGGCCAAGGTGGGAGGATCACTTGAGCCCCAGGCACGTTCAAGGAGCCAGGCTGGCGAACATAGTGAGACTCACCATCTCTACAAAATTTAAGAAAAAGCTAAAAAATTAGGCTGGCTGTTAGTGCAAAATGCCTGCCTAGTTCCCAGCTTACTTGGGAGGGTCTGAGGGTGGGAAGATCACTGGAACCCAGGGAGGCTGAAGCTGCAGAGCGGGTGATCATGCCACTGCCCTGTCCAGCCTGGTAATAGAGGTGAGATCCTGGCCCAAAAAAAAAAAAAATAAAAAAAGAGAAAGAAGAAAGAAAAAAGGGCAGAAAAGAAAAGATGAGGGTGGAGGGACGAACAACAACCGGGACATTAAAAGGCAGAACAGAGGCCACGCTCAGGTCTTCCCTCTGTGTTGGTCCATTCCTCCCCTTCACGTGTTGCTAAAGACCTGCCCCAAGGCAGAGTTCCCTTGGCCTATGGGGAAAAGTTACTCAAGGCTCCATAGTAGCTAAATATACAGCCAGGTCAGCCATATTGCAACACCACTCTGAGATCTTTAGTCGTGGTTCCTTTCCTGGTCCCAATGTTAGTAGGGTCCTGAAAAGAGGAGCCAACATCACTCCTTTGAGTCTTCCAGCCATGGGGCTGAGCTAAGCTACCTTGCTTAACGGCTTACCATGTGTCCTCGGCAAGTTTCTTACTTTTCCTGTTTTTTTTGTTTTTTTGAGACGGAGTTCGCTCTGTCGCCCCAGGGTTGGAGAGTGCAGTGGCCGGATGGTCAGGCTCACAGCAAGCTCCGGCCTCCCACGGGTTCACACCATCTCCTGCCCTTAGGGGGCCCTCCCGGAGTAGCTGGACTACAGGGCGCCACCACCTAATGCCGGCTGAGTTTTTTGTATTTTTTAGCTTAGAGACAGGGTTTCACCATGTATAGCCAGGACGTTCTCTATCTGATTCTGACCTCGCTGTATCCACTCCTGTCTCTGGCCTCCCTCAAAGTGCGTGGTGATTACATGTCTTGATGCCCATCCGCTCGCCGGTCTCCTTTTTTTTTTTGTTGGAGACAGAGTCTCGGCCTTGTCGCCCCAGGGTTTTGCGAGTGCAAATTGCTGCGATCCTCAGTTCACTGCCCCAACCTCGCTGGCCTCCTGGGTTCAAGTGATTCTCCTGCCTCAGGCCTCCCGAGCTAACTGGATTACAGTGCCCTGCCAACCAACCGACACCCAAGCTAATTTTGTATTTTTAGCCTTAGAGACTGGCGTTTTCACCATGTTGCGCCCAGGCATGCGGTTCTGATTTCCTGACCCCAGTAGATCCACCTGCCTTCGGGCCTCCCAAAAGGCCCTGCGATACAAGCCGGTGAACCACCTTATGCCGGGCTAGTCCTGGCCAAGTTTCTTATCCTGTCTTGTGCCAATATTCTGAAACCTATAAAGATGCGGCCACGCCTTACGTGCAGCCGTTCATATGGTTTGCTGGGTGCAGGGAATAGATTAGTAACACAAGCTTTAACTGTTAGAACCTTGCCTGGCCTAGAATAGTTAGGCACTTTATAGCTGCATTGTGTATCATTCGATTTTTTTCCGTTTGTCCTGGCCTTTCTGTGCTACCAGGTTGGGTGACACAGGAGATGAATGCAGCCTTACTCGCCTACTTAGGCTGCATTCATGATCTAGCGTTCGGAAGCACACAAACCCGTCGGATGGCTTGCCTGCTACGCTGCCTTGTAGTCCTTAGCGCTACTCAGAAGGCTGAGGCAGGAGCGATTCCCTTGAGCTCAGGGAGTTCAAGGGCCTGCAGCTGAGCTGTGATTGCACACTGCCGACATCCAGGCCTGGAGTGATAGATTGACGAGACCCGTGTCGCAAAAAAAAAAATTCATCTAGGGATAGGGCGGAAGGCGGAGTAAGGTTAGGGGGAGTTGGCGGTAGGGGTTAGTAGAGGTTGGGTGGCTGTATCATTAGGAACAACGCGAAATATACTTTCATGAAGGCAAGTGGCGTTTTGACCTGGTGGCTTGTGGGAAGCGGTCAGATTTGCAATGCTGACCTGTACGACGAGATATGGACTAAGGCCAAAGTGCTGGGTGTGGTAACCAGGACACAGAGCAGATGGAAGATGCAGAACTGGAAAAAGGAGTTCATCACTTGCGTGAACTTCAGGCTCTTATCTGACATCAGCCCAGCAGCTTCTCTTTCTCCCCCATGTGGCTCGTACAACTCTTCTCCGACTCTAGGCTGAAATGGCCTTCATTAGCAGATGATCTCAGCCAAGGGCATGCAATATGTGACTAGGGTCACCTCTGCCGTTGCCAAAGAACACAGTCATTTCCAAAAATAGAAAATATGCGCCTGGCGGGCATGTTCTTTTTTTGGGCTGGGTTGTCAGCATTCCATCTTGATATCGATGCCGTTTAATGGCTAGTGGACTTCCTAATGCCCCCTAGCCTGAATTCTGGCTCTCCGAGGAAAATGGGAATTGTTATGATTCTAGAAAAGGGCAGGCCAGGTGCGCGGCTGGCTCTACGGGTCCTGTAAATCCAGCCCACTTTATGGCGCGAGCGTCGGAAAGGCGGCAGATCACAAGTCAGGACCGTCCCAAGGGACCAGCCTGGCCCAATAACGGTGAGAAACCGCTCTGCTTACTAAAAACACAAAATTAGCTGGGTGTGGAGGTGCCGGCCCCGCCTGTAATTCCCAGCCTACTCACGCGCAGAGCTGGAGGCCAGAAGAATCACTTTGAACTGCCTGGATGGTCAGGAGCGTTGCAGGTGAGGGCTGAGATCTCTGCCCACTGCACTCCAGCCTGACGGTGCACAGGATGCGAGGCCAAGACTCCACTCTCAAAAAAAAAAAAAAAAAACAAGCTAATGGAGTCTGAGGTCTAGGAGATGGGGGATGAGCAGGGATGGGACTGGACACTGGATGTCCAAGGGTAAGAGGAGGCCTGTAGAGGAGGAAACACACATTCACAACGACCCTGCTAAGGACTGTCCTGCCATTTTCACATACTATGAGGTAAGCACTATTACTGTCTCCATTTTACAGATGAGAAACCCAGGGCACCATGAGGGATTAAGTAACTTGCCCATGCTTCCATCGCTAGAAGAGGCAGAGACAGGATTTCAGCCCAGGCAATCTGGCTCTAAGACACAGGAGAGGAGGCTTCCTGCCAAGGTCTTGTGGTAGATTCTCTAGATCATTCTCAAATGGGGGACGATGTTTGCCCCACAACAGGGGTCATTTGGCAATGTCTGGAAACATTTTTTATTGTCACAGATGAACAGGAAAGTGCTACTGGCATCTGGGAGGGAGGAGGCTGCTAAACATCTCACAATGTGTTACCCAGTCCCAAATGTCAGTCGTGTTGAGGCTGAGAAACTGTGGTTTAAATTAGTCAGAGGCTGGGCACAGTGACACATGCCTGTAGTCCCAGCTACCGGCTGCGGTGGGAGGATTGCTTGAGCCCAGGTGTTCAAGACTAGACTGGGCGATATAGCAAGACCTCTGTCTCAGATAAACAAGTAAAAAATAAATGAGTCAGAGACTAGTAAATCTACCTCCTCTCAGATTTGAGGTCTCAGCCTCAGAGCTGAGAGTAGAAGAAATGGGGCAAGGAATCAAAAGGGAGCCTGCACTTCCTGGCTCAGCTGCTATAACAGAGACTCACAGCACAGCGGCTCCACTAAAAGAAACTTCTTTCCAGTGCACGTAGCTGTCAAGAGGTGGCAGGTGGCTCTGTGTGTGGGGCCTGCCAGGGCTCAGGACTCCCTTGCCTTTTTGCTCAGTCATTCCTGGATGTTGGCCATGTTTGTGGGATTAGAGTTGGTTCACCAACTTCAAATCTGCATTCCTGTGAAAACTGTACCTAGGCTGGACATGGTGGCTCACACTTGAATCCCAGCACTTTGGGAGGCCAAGGTGGGAGAATTGCTTGAGCCCAGGAGTTCAAGACCAGCCTGGGCAACATAGAGACACCCTGTCTCTACGAAAAAAAAAAAAAAAAAAAAAAAAAAGATGGTGCCTGACTTGTCAGGTACAGATAAAAACTGACTTCCTTCATGAAGCCCCCTGCTAGTTGTCTAACCAATACCCACCACCCCGATTCCCCACTCCTTTAACCCTCCTCCCTCCACTGCCCCGGCCTTCTTGCTTGCCAACAGAACTACCATTTTTTTGTTAATTAATTTTCTTATTCCTTTGAATGCTGAGTGTTTGTCCTTTTCTTATTTATTTGCCAAGCTCTTTATATATTAACATATTAACTAAGGTGATATTAACTACTGATTATTGTTATTCCTCCAGGAAAAGCCATGGAGACTTCAGTATCCCCCTCCCAGCCTCAAGACAACAGTCAAGTCCACAGAGAAACGGAAGATCTAGACTGTATGTTTGCCTTCTCTGACCCTCTGGGCAAAACCACATGGGAGGTGGAGTCCAAAAGTAGAAGGGATGGAAGAAGACCCTGCTCAGCTCATTTTGCACAGGGCCTCAAATCACAGTTGAAATGGGGAAGTAGTGGTTGTACACACATGCACACATACATGTGCATGGTCCAATCTGTCTTCCTGTGCTATCTAGCTATGGGGACCCTCAGCTGCTTGCCAAATCTCAAGAATTCTCTGGGGGCTTGGGCTGGCACTAGGGATACCCCTAGAAGGTAGAGAGTCCTGTGTGACCCCAGAATGGGGAATGGGAAGGTTTAGGGCTTGATCACACCCCATCTTGGCTGTAATTTACAAAGGATCCTAAATTGGCAACTCCTCTACAGAGTCTAGCTTTCTCTGGGCAGGGCAGGGGGCTTAGAAACCCCTTTTCTGAGTCCATATTCAGATAGATCTCTGTACTGAGCCTTCCTTGAGCCCCTGGTATCTCTGAGAGCCTCGGTCTCCTGCACGTTGCATTGGCCCTAGATATTTGGGAAGATAATCCAGTCCTTCCTGGCTCAAGTCCAAGTAGAACCCTGGAGAGGACTGGGTGGTCCCTGGGGTGGGAAGGGTGGGAAATGCTCATCCCCTGGCCTCTATGTGCCTTGCAGATGGAGAGACAGATTTCCATAAGCAAGATGGGAAGGCTGGACTATTTTCCCAAGAACAGTATGAGAGAGACAAGTCTTCTTCCTCCTCCTCCTCTTCCTCCTCATCCTCTTCCTCCTCCTCCTCCTCAGGTATAGCAAAGATTTAAATATATGTGCATTATTCAAGAAAAAGATTTACATGGGGAAACAATCCCCCATACTTGAAGTCATTGAAGTATTTGAAACTCCAATACTGTTTCTCCACATTCTCTTCTAGAGCCGATCTGTCCACACGTCCTTCTATGTACACAGTTATAATTGATAGTATAGGCAATTCTGTCCTCCATTTAAAAATTTCCCCCATCTTGTCCTAAGCTTTTTGCCATGTTATTCTGTAATATCTCTGCAGCGATTTTTATTTATTTATTTATTTATTTATTTATTTATTTATTATTTATTTTGAGATGGAGTCTTGCTCAGTCGCCCAGGCTGGAGTGCAGTAGTGCAATCTCGGCTCACTGCAAGCTCTGCCTCCCGGGTTCACGCCATTCTCCTGCCTCAGCCTCCCAAGTAGCTGGGACTACAGGCGCCCACTGCCACGCCCAGCTAAGTTTTTGCATTTTTAGTAGAGACGGGGGTTTCACCGTGTTAGCCAGGATGGTCTCGATCTCCTGACCTCGTGATTCACCGCCTCGGCCTCCCAAAGTGCTGGGATTACAGGCGTGAGCCACTGCGCCCGGCCTCTGCAGTTATTTTTAATGTTTACCGAACAGCCCCTCAAGTGGCTGCATCTCATGTAAAGTAACATTTAGGTTTATTAGGGGTACCCCAGTGCCATAGTCAAAGCATGTGTTACAGGTTCAAATCCTGTCTTTACCACTAATTAGCTACATGTTCTTGGGTAAACTGCTCAACCCCTGGCTGCCTCAGTGCCCTCATCTATAAGATGGGGATGATAGCAATACATAATACCTCATGGGATTCTTGTGAGGATTAAATTTGTTATACAGGTAAAGTCTTAGCAAAAAGGACATATTAATAGCTCTAAAAGTAATTGTTGTGTTATGATCTTCCCCTCCCAGGTTTATCATGCTCATGAGCATCCTTTTGCAAAAGCTTTTGCCTTTTGAATTTTTGTACAAATCATTCCTAAGTATTGATTCCTTGCCAGTACTTTAGTGGGTTTAGAGGAACATCATCTCCAATAGCATCTTTTTTTTTTTTTTTTTTGAGACACAGTCTTGCTCTGTCGCCCAGGCTGAAGTGCAGTGGCATGATCTTGGCTCACTGCAACCTCTGCCTCCTGGGCTCAAGCGATTCTCCTGCCTCAGCCTCCTGAGTAGCTGGGATTACAGGCACTTGCCACCGTGCCTGGCCAAATTTTTGTATTTTTAGTAGAGACAAAGTTTCTCCATGTTGGCCAGGCTGGTCTTGAAGTCCTGATCTCAGGTGATCTGCCCGCCTCGGCCTCCCGAAGTGCTGGGATTACAGGCGTGAACCACTGTGCCTGGCCTCCAATAGCATCTTGATTACAAATAACCACATTATTCTCCAAGAAACAGCAGAATGTTCTTTCATTTGTATTCTTTTAATTCAAAATATAAGGCTGAATTTTATAGCAGTAGCACCAGCAATATTTATTGAATGCTTACTCTGTGCTGGGAGCGGTTCTAAGCACTTGCATGTAATAACTCAATTCTCCCAGCAACCCATAAAGGAAGGTACTATTATTATTCCCAGTTTACAAGTGAGAAAACTGAAGCACAGAGAGGACAACTGACCTGCTCTAAGAGAACTCAGTAACCAACTTGGGATTCCCTGGAGGTTTTTGTGGAACCGGGGAGGCTAACTCTCCTCAGCCAGAGCTCCTGCACTATGATCTCTTTTATGCCGTGGGCTTGAGCTTAAGATTTTATTTAATGGAAGGTCCCCTGGGCTGGAAGGAAAAAAAAAGAAAAGAAAAGAAAAGCTCTGGTCTTATGTCCTCATGTTGCAAATGCTGAGACCAAGGCCCAAAGCCACCAAATCAATGATCATTTCAGCAGAGGAGGGAGAGTGGTCAGTGGGCCCCGTGGGTTTGTTTGTAGCCAGTCTCCTCATGGCACTGGAAAGGAAGCCGTCTCCCCAATTAAACACAAAAAACGAGAAAACACACAAGCCCACCGTGTATGAGGTTTGGCTCTGGAAGAAGAGTTTCCAGGTGCAGGGAGGGGGCTGTTTGTTGCCTGTCGTTTTGTTTCTCCTCCCTGGGCCGGAAGGAGTGTTCTGTCCTCTGGTTGTCCCTCAAGGAGTGCTGCTCCTCCAAAAATGTCCCCCATGTGACCATAATCCCTGGCACCCAGGCACCCTGGAGTCTCCAGCTCATACATGGGACTGGCTGAAATTAGCCAAATGGAGCACTAAGAGAAAGCAGCAGGAGAAAGCCACAGTCCTAGAAGCATGAAGACAGGCTGACATTCAGGATCCTGGTCCCTGATCCTACCGTGACTGACCTGCAGCCAGAACACGGGGACCTGTTACCCCAGAGGCCCCAAGCCTGGGTACCTCATTGCAGCCCTGCCGTCCTCACACGCAGGACCCTCACTCATAGTCACATCCAGCATCTCTCTCCCACATACCTGTTTTATTTATTTATTTATTTTTACTTATTTATTTATTTTTTTGAGACAGAGTCTTGCACTGTTGCCCAGGCTGGAGTGCAGTGGCGTGATCTCGGCTCACTGCAACCTCCGCCTCTTGGGTTCACGCCATTCTCCTGCCTCGCCTCCCGAGGAGCTGGGACTACAGGAACCCGCCACCACACCCGGCTAATTTTTTGTACTTTTAATAGAGACGGGGTTTTACCGTGTTAGCCAGGATGGTCTCGATCTCCTGACCTCGTGATCCGCCGGCCTCAGCCTCCCAAAGTACTGGGATTACAGGCGTGAGTCACCGCGCCTAGCCCACATACCTGTTTTAATCTAGTTATTTTTAGATGAAGTTTTATTGTCAACTGTAAAAGATTACACACAGGTACTTTATAGAAATATAGAGTATATAGGGAAACAGAAATATGAGAAAATAAATCACCCTTTGCTCCATTACCCAGAAATAACCACCCAAAACGTATTAGTGTATTCCTTACATTTATTTAACAAATATTTACTGAGCACCAAACTTGTGCCAGTCTTTGTCATGGGTACTAGGGACACTAGCAAAGAATAGTGAGTCTTTTTTTTTTTTTTTTTTGAGACAGAGTCTCGCCCTCTGTCGCCCAGGTTGGAGTGCAGTGGCGCGATCTCAGCTCACTGCAACCTCCGCCCCTTCAGGTTTAAGCAGTTCTTTGCCTCAGCCTCCAGAGTAACTGGGATTACAGGCGCATGCCACCACACCCAGCTAATTTTTTTGTATATTTTTAGTAGAGATGGGGTTTTACCATCTTGGCCAGGCTGATCTTGAAGTCCTGACCTCGTGATCCACCTGCCTTGGCCTCCCAAAGTGCTGGGATTATAGGCGTAAGCCACCATGCCCAGCCAAACAGTGAGTCTTTCTGCCATGGTTAACTTTTTTTTAAAATTTATTTATAAAGAGAAGAGGCTGGGCGCAGTGGCTCACTCCTGCAATTCCAGCACTTTGGAAGGCCAAGACAAGCAGATCACCTGAGGTTAGGAGTTCAAGACCAGCCTGGCCAACATGGTGAAACCCTTTCTCTACTAAAAATACAAAAATTAGTCAAATGTGGTGGCGGGCGCCTGTAATCCCAGTTACTCAGGAGGCTGAGGCAGGAGAATCACTGAAGCTGGGAGGCAGAGGTTGCAGTGAGCCAAGATTGTGCCATTGCACTCCAGCCTGGGTGACAGAGTGAGACTCCGTTTCAAAAAAAAAAGAAAAAGAGAAAGAAAAAAGGTGCATTTAGCTCACAGTTCTGCAGTTTGGGTTATTTTTTAAGTAACTCAATCAGAGAGCATATACAAAAAATAAGTCTTCATTTTAAACAGCATATATTCCATAATACCTTTTATTTAAAAAAATTGTATTAGGCTGGACAGGGTGGCTCACGCCTGTAATTCCAGCATTTTGGGAGGCCAAGGTGGGTGGATCAATTGAGTCCAGGAGTTCGAGACCAGCATGGGCAACATAGCGAAACCCCATCTCTACTAAAATACAAAAATTTAGCTGGGCATGGTGGCACATACCTGTAATCCCAGCTATTCAGGAGGCTGGGGTGTGAAGATCACTTGAGCCTGGAAGGTCAAGGCTACAGTGAGCCCTGATTGTACCACTGCACTTCAGCCTTGGTGTCAGAGTAAGACCCTGTCTCCAAAAAAATTGTATTATGAATATATCACAGAAAAAGCTAAAACAATGTTTATTCACACATTGATGGCAATTGTCTCTAGTGGATAAAATTTAGAGTAATTGCCAGCTGTGGTGGTGCACACCTGTAATTCCAGCACTTTGGGAGGCCAAGGTGGGTGGATCACCTGAGGTCAGGAATTCACAACCAGCCTGACTAATATGGTGAAACCTCGTCTCTAGTTAAAAAAAAAAAAAATTAGCCAGGCGTGGTGGCACATGCCTGTAATCTGAGCTACTTGGGAGGCTGAGACAGGAGAATCATTGTACCTGGGAGGCGGAGGTTGCAGTGAGCCGAGATCATGCCACTGCACTCCAGCCTGGGCAACAAGAGCAAAACTCCGTCTCAAAAAAAAAAAAAAAAGAGCCAGGCGTGGTGGCTCATGCCTCTAATCCCAGCACTTTGGGAGGCCGAGGCGGGCGGATAACCTGAGGTCGGGAGTTCAAGACTAGCCTGACCAACATGGAGAAACCCTGTCTCTACTAAAAGTACAAAATTAGCCGGGCGTGGTGGTGGGCGCTTGTAATCCCAGCTACTAGGGAGGCCGAGGCAGGAGAATCGCTTGAACCTGGGAGGTGGAGGTTGCAGTGAGCTGAGATCACGCCATTGCACTCCAGCCTAGGCAACAAGAGAGAAACTCTGTCTCAAATAAAAAAAAAAAAGAAAGAAAGAAAATTGGAATAACTTTTACTTTGTTTTCTGTATTTCTTTATTTTGCAACATGCATTATCTTTTTAGCAATAAAAAGTCATTTTTTGCACTGATGAATATTTGTGAAATATAGAAGAGAATAGAAGTCAAAATCCTCTCTTCTGAGATAAACACCACTGTTGTGATTTTGTTGAGCTTCCCAATCCCTCTTCCTCCTTATCCAGTTGAGATCACAGATGCACTGATGTTTAAGCACAATTAATTTGGTTTCCTGGAATTTTTTAAATTGCCCATGACTGACCAGGAGGTCCCATGGTCCTGTCTTGGGATAAAGGAATCTTTTGGACTTGGAGCCAGAAACTCGTAGACCTGAATTCTTGGAATGCTGACTGGCCAAAGAGCACAAATGACAACCATTTTCAAGTCTTGATCAAGCTCCTGTTCACAGCTAGGCACCCTTGCAGGGTTGAGAACCCAGGTCATGTCCTTCAGGAGATGAAATGTTTGGAGAGAGGCACATCATGAGACCGCTGGCCTTCATGTCCATTGAGTCAAGGACAAACAGTTGGTGCTATAGAAACCCCAGCAGGGAAAGGCAAGACCAGTGTGAGCTGGGGCAGTTGGCAAAGGCTTTCTATAGGAGGTGTGACATCAGCTTAAGCTTCTCAATAACACAGACAAACAGGAAGGATATTCCGCAGGTGGGAGACACAGCAAACATCCAGAGCCAGTGTGATGGGTGGGGAAACAGAGATGACACAGCCCCTGCACTTGGTGGGATGGAAGCCATCTCAGTACTGTGACGCCTCATGGGACCTTGTCTTATCTTCATGGAAGTCTTATAAAGTAGGCAAGGCAGCAGCAGAAATATTATGTAGACATGAAATCAACAGAAATATTAAGGGATTTGTCCAAAGTCACACAGAATGTGAGTGGCAGGTCTCCTATCTCCAGTCCCCAAATCAGAGTTCCTCCCACCAAACCACACTCTTCGCATAAACTAAATTCTGAGAATGGCCACCAGAATGAACGCATTCCCAGCTCAGTCCAGGCTGAGCTTCTCCTCCAGCTTGTGTTTGTTCCCCGCAGAGAGCAGCGATGAAGACCAGCATCGCAGAGCAACCAGAAAACGTCGACGGAGCCTGGGGGCTGGACACCCCCATGGGAACAGCTCACCCGGTAGGCAATAGGCCTTACCATTTTTCTTTTGCCTACTCACTCACTGTTGAGTTTCTCAGTGGGACTGAACCTGCCTGTGTGATGTTCTTCACAGCATTGTTTACGGCAGGATAAAATAGGAAATAGCCTGACAGCAGCAGAATAAAGGATGCTACACCCTGTCCTGGTGACAGCTGTGCTCTTCATCTGTCGCTGAACCGAAAAAGAAAGATGCCAAATCATAGAATTAATTTGATCTCGTATATACTTTATAAAAATTCAGACATATGGTTATAATCAAAACTGGAAGGAAAAATACCAAAATGTTAATAGTGGTTATCTCAGGATGGTGGAATTATAAGTGATTTTTATTTTCCCTTTTTTGAACTGTCCTATACTATAAATAATTTACAATGAGCATGTTTTATTTTTTATTTATTTATTTTTTTGAGACAGGGTTTCACTCTTGTTGCCCAGGCTGGAGTGCAATGGCGCGATCTTCGGTCACCATAACCTCCACCTCCCGGGTTCAAGCAATTTTCCTTCCTCAGCCTCCCAAGTAGGAGGCTAGGATTACAGGCATGTGCCACCATGCCTGGCTAATTTTGTATTTTTAGTAGAGATGGGGTTTTACCATGTTGCTCAGGCTGGTCTCCAACTCCTGGACTCAAGTGATCCACCCACCTCGGCCTCCCAAAGTGCTGGGATTACAGGGGTAAGCCACCGCGCCTGGCAGAGCATGTTTTATTTTTACAACCAGGAAATAATTTTTGCAAAAGAAATAAACAACAAATTTCATAGGAAGGAAAGACCACTGGGAAAAGGGCTGAATTATTGCCTAGTACAGAACCTGTCACACAGAAGCTGTTTAATAAATGCTGCCCATGAGGCTAGAGCTGAGCCCTGGGTTCTCTTTCTGGATATAAACATGATTAGGAACGCAGGCTTTGGCAACAGACCTAGTAGAGTTGCCACTTGCTGGCTATATGACTTTGGGAAAATAATGTAACTGTTTGAGCCTCAGTGTCCTTATCTGTATAATGGGTGGGGTAGGTACTAATACCTTCTTCATAGGATGTCTGTGAGGAGCAAATGAAGTATTAAATATAAAATCACTTAGTACAGTGTTGGTGCATGCTAGTGCCCAATATATACCCACTATTAACCCTGAGCAAGGTCTAAGTCCTCTTAGGTCTTGAGTGCTTTATGAATGTGGTCACCTCTGGAAGCTCTGGGGGCATCAGAGAGGGCAAAGGGAAGGTACTTGTGCTGCCTTGCCTCTTGAAGACCACCCCCCACCTCACCTCCAGCACAAGGACTCTGGTACTTCTTTTTTTTTTTTTTTGAGACGGAGTCTCGCTCTGTCGCCCGGGCTGGAGTGCAGTGGCCGGATCTCAGCTCACTGCAAGCTCCGCCTCCCGGGTTTACGCCATTCTCCTGCCTTAGCCTCCCGAGTAACTGGGACTACAGGTGCCCACCACCTCGCCCGGCTAGTTTTTTGTATTTTTTAGTAGAGAGGGGGTTTCACCATGTTAGCCAGGATGGTCTCGATCTCCTGACCTCGTGATCCGCCCGTCTCAGCCTCCCAAAGTGCTGGGATTACAGGCTTGAGCCACCGCGCCCGGCTGGACTCTGGTACTTCTTAAGCTTCAAAGCCATGGGAGATGGAAGTGGCCTGGGTCACTGTGTTTGGGAGTGCTGACTAAGGGGTTTGTCTCCATCCAGGTCCTGGGCATGGGGAGCCTGACGTTTTGAAGGATGAGCTTCAGCTCTATGGAGGTAATCAGTTGCCCAGTGGCTTTGGAGAAAACAATTAGACGAAGGAAAAGAGGGCTTTGTTGGGCAGAAACAAGGTCATGAGGGTGATTCATGAGCTGAAAAGTCCCACCCAAATACAGGAGATGTGGCCAGTTGGGTGGTTATGACATTGGCAGGTGGGGAGGTGGGCATGAGATTGTCTTGAGGAAATCCTGCATTTTCTGGGGTCTTTGTTTGTTTTGAGATGGAGTCTCACTCTGTCACCCAGGCTGGAGTGCAGTGGTGTGATCTCAGCTCACTGCAACTTCCACCTCCCGAATTCAAGTGATTCTCCTGCCTCAGCCTCCCCAGTAGGTGTGACCACAGGTGCACACCACCACACCCAGCTAATTTTTTGTATTTTTAGTAGAGACGGGGTTTCACTATGTTGGCCAGGATGGTCTTGATCTCCTGACCTTGTGATCTGCCCACCTCGGCCTCCCGAAGTGCTGGGATTACAGGCGTGAGCCACTGCGTCCAGCCAATCCTGCATTTTCGTCTAAGCTATAACCTTGACTTATGGGGTGACCATGAACAGTCACCCACTTTTCTGGGCCTCAGCTCCTAAACGAGTAGAATGGGACGTGATCGGTAACCCCTCTCTTGGAATACTGGGCTGTTTCAGCACACAAGGAAAAATTAAGGATCTGATCTCCACAATACCCATTTTACAGAATAATTATTTCTAATACCCTGATTACTACAGTGAGGAGGCATAAATAATATGGAGCTTTGGTTGCACTAGGATCTATTGTAGCACTAGGATGCAATAGAACTTGTAGAATGAGAAACAAAAAAAGAAAAAAAAAAGAACTTGTAGAATGAACTCTTTTGCCAAAGAATATGACAAATGCACACTACTAGATAAGAAAGCTTTAATATCTGTGTTTAATCCAATATTTCTGAAATCTACATCGTCTCCTAATGCCTGGCAATAACCTAAGTAAAACAGTGGAAAACACTTATGTATATGCTAAAGAAAAGATTTCATTTGTTATGTAACAAATACAATCAGTGGCTGCCTCTGGGTCATCTGTCTTGTGGGTTTTTGTTTTTGTCTTTTGTTTTTTGTTTTTTTTTGCGACACGGTCTCACTCTGTTGTCCAGGCTGCAATGCGGTGGTGTGATCATGACTCACTACAGCCTCAACCTCCTGGGCCCAGGTGATCCTCCCATCTCAGTCTCCCAGGTAGCTGGGACTACAGATGTGTGCCACCACACTCAGCTAATTTTTTGTATTTTTTAGTAGAGACAGAGTTTTGCCATGTTGCCCAGGCTGGTCTCGAACTACTGAGCTCAAGTGATCCTCCCGCCTTGGCCTCCCAAAGTGCTAGAATTACAGCATCTTTCTTTTCTTTCTTCCTTTTTTTTGTTACAGAAACAAGTATAATCTGGTTTAGAAAAATGTTTTTAATTACTCAAGTAATTTAAGAAAGGTTTCACTGGGTGTAAAATAAGATAAACCTTTATGTTCATACGTATTTTAAAATATTTTTCTCATTAAGTAATTCATATTCACTGTAGAAAATGTAGATACAGTCACGTATTCATGGATTACTTCTTTCCCCTAGACATTGGAGGTGCTTGGTAAATTACATTGCTTAAGTCTCATTTCATGTTGTCCTTGATATGCTCTCTGCACTCTCCGTATTGGCCCCTCTGGTCACTTTGCAGATGGCGTTCAGTGTGCTGAGTGCCTATTGTCACATGCTAAGTGCCCCTGGTGGTGTTCATGTCCTGGGGCTGCCCTGAGGGACAGGAAACGTACAGAAATCGGGGCCTGATGGTAGGAAGATCATACAAGTGCCTGTCTGCCCTTAAGGGAAAGAAGATGACAGGCTAGGAGCAAGGTCACCAGGGAACTAGAACAGGCACCAAGAACCACATGGTGAATGGTGTGGGAAGGACACCCAGGACTGGATTAATGCAGAGGTGGCAGCTCAGGTCTATAGGACTCAACTCACCCTTGGCAGCCCAGACAAGTGGCTCAACAATCAGGGCGGGAGCCAAGGATTGAGGTGTACAAGCCAGCTTGGCTCCCCCATGCTCAGACCCTGGTAGGTCTAGAAGCCAGCAAGATGGCATGAGCTTGGAGTTGCCTGTCTAGTCCAGAGTTCTATGGGTAAAAGGCAGCAGGTGTCATCACCTGCATCTGGATAGCCTGGAGCAGGCATGTGCAAATGAGTGGCCCATGTGGGCAGATGCTTTTTATCTGGCTCACAGAATGGCTTTTGGGGGGTCAGGTTAGGGGTAGGTTTGTTTTTTTATTTTTTGGTTTTTTTGAGATGCGGTCTCACTCCTTTGCTCAGGCTGGAGTGCAGTGGTGCCATCTCGGCTCACTGCAACCTCCACCTCCCAGACTCAAGCGATTCTCCTACCTTAGCCTCCTGAGAAGCTGGGACTACATGCATGCGCCACCATGCCCAGCTAATTTTTGTATTTTTGGTAGAGACAGGATTTTACCATATTTCCCAGGCTGGTCTTGAACTCCTGGATTCAAGTGATCTATCTGCCTTGACCTTCCAAAGTGCTGGGATTACAAGTGTGAACCATCGTGCCCGGCCCACACAGAAACACAGAATGCTTTTTTTTTTTTTTTTTTTCCTGTGTTTTTAGTAGAGATGGAGTTTCACTGTGTTAGCCAGGTTGTTCTCGATCTCCTGACCTTATGATCCACCCGCCTCAGCCTCCCAAAGTTCTGGGATTACAGGTGTGAGTCACCGCACCCAGCCCAGAACGCTTTATTTATTTATTTATTTTGAGACAGAGTCTTGCTCTATTGCCCAGGCTGGAGTGCAGTGGTGTGATCTTGGCTCACTGCATGCTCCGCCTCCTGGGTTCATGCCATTCTCCTGCCTCATCCTCCCAAGTAACTGGGACTACAGACGGCCGCCACCACGCCTGGCTAATTTTTTTGTGTTTTCAGTAGAGACGGGGTTTCACCGTGTTCACCAGGATGGTCTCGATCTCCTGACCTCGTGATCCTCCCGCCTCAGCCTCCCAAAGTGCTGGGATTACAGGCATGAGCCACCGCGCCAGGCCCAGAATGCTTTTTTAAAATTATGATTGTGTGGCCAGGCACTGTAGCTCACGCCTGTAATCCCAGCACTTTGGGAGGCTGAGGCAGGTGGATCACTTGAGGTTAGGAGTTCAAGACCAGCCTGACCAACATGGCAAAACCCCGTCTCTACTAAAAATACAAAAATTAGCCAGATGTGGTAGCACCCTTAATCCCAGCTACTCAGGAGCCTGAGGCAGGAGAATTGCTTGAACCTGGGAGGCAGAGGTTGCAGTGAGCTGAGATCATGCCACTGTACTCCAGCCTGGGCGGCAAAGTGAGACTCTGTCTCAAATAAATAAATAAATAAATATTATAAATATATAATAGATAATTTATACAAATTATATAATATATAAATATATATAAATTATATATATATAATTATGATTGTGAGAGCCAGACACTATGGCTCACACCTGTAATCCCAGCTACTTGGGAGGCTGAGGCAGGAAGAGTGCTTCAGCCCAAGCGTTTGAGACTGCAGTGAGTCATGATTGTGCCATTGCCCTGCAACCTGGATGACAGAGAGAGAACCTGTCTCTAAATAAATAAATTTTAAAAATAAAATTATGAATGTAAATATATTTCAACAATTCTACACCACATTTTTTTCACATTTGAATATTTCTGAAATCAGGATGCATCTTAAAAATCACTGGCAAAGTTAGGCATGGTAGTTCATGACTATAATCCCAGCACTTTGGGAGGCCAAGGTGGGAGGATTGCTTGAGCTCAGGAGTTCAAGACCAGCCTAGACAACATAGCAAGGCCCTATCTCTGTTTTAAAAAATCACTGGCGGGTGGGCGCAGTGGCTCGCGCCTGTAATCCCAGCACTTTGGGAGGCCGAGGCGGGCAGATCACGAAGTCAGGAGATCAAGACCATCCTGGCTAACACAGTGAAACCCCATCTGTACTAAAAATACAAAAAAATTAGCCAGGCGTGGTGGCGGGCGTCTGCAGTCCCAGCAACTCAGGAGGGTGAGGCAGGAGAATGGTGTGAACCTGGGAGGCAGAGCTTGCAGTGAGCGGAGATCGCACCACTGCACTCCAGCCCGGGGGACAGAGCGAGACTTCATCTCAAAAAAAAAAAAAATCACTAGCAACTTATAGTTATAACTGTCAAGGGCTTTTCTTACATGGTAGTACATAAAATAATGTCATGTCTCACAAGCAATTGCATTTTGATTTGAGAGTTGCCAAACTTTTTTTTTTTTTTTTTTTGAGACAGAGTTTCACTCTGTCGCCAGGCCGGAGTGCAGTGGTGTGATCTCAGCTCACTGCAACCTCTGCCTCCTGGGTTTGAGCGATTATCCTGCCTCAGCCTCCCAAGTAGCTGGGACTATAGGCGCGTGCTACCATGCCCAGCTAATTTTTGTGTTTTTAGTAGAGATGGGGTTTCACCATGTTAGCCAGAATGGTCTCAATCTCTTGACCTTGTGATCCGCCCACCTCGGCCTCCCAAAATGTTGGGATTACAGGCATGAGTCACTGCGCCCGGCCCAAACTTTTTTATAATTAGGAAGTTTAACTGAAAACCTGGCTTCTCTGGGGAAATTGACAGACCTGTAAGAGTGGGCAGGCATTCCTACAGCAGCTTTCTGTGGCTGGTGGGTGGTGGCTGCCCCTTTAGTTGAAACAGGAACCCTCCAGCCGGCTCCATTCCCCACCTGGCACACTCCAGGTTAAGTGGAAGGTCTCCCAGCAGGATCCACCTTCCCTGAAGCATGACTTCTCCCTCCCCAGAGGATCATGGGTATATGATCACTGATTTCCTTTCTGTGCAGATGCTCCAGGAGAGGTGGTACCCTCTGGGGAATCAGGTGAGTGTCCAGTTAGGGGAGAGAGGTCGTTGGTGCTGGTGTTGGGCCGGGTCTAGGCATCACCTCTCCCCTAAGACAGCCAGCTCCTGTTGGGGTATCTGACTGTGAGAAACAGGAGCCCCAGGTCCACTGAGCCTAGGCTCATCAAGCGGGCTGGGCCAGCTGTGGCATGAAGCAGGGAGCCCGGGGAGCTTGGAAAGCTGTCCCAGCAAGACCCAAGGAGATTACAACCAACCAGCCATCAATAGAAAGGAGGATCCTTGGGGGCTGCAGAATTCCATGGGGACATTTTTTTAGGTCACCTATAGCCTTCCCCAGGGTGGAGGCAGCTGTTAAGGCACCCCAAGCAGGGTTGGGCACTAATGTTGAGTTTCTCGTTTCCAGGACTCCGAAGGAGAGGCTCTGACCCAGCAAGTGGTAAATATACAAGCTCAAATAGGACAGCCAGAGTGGGTGTTGATTCCAGACGATGGGTTGGGACTTCAGACAGCCTGAGAGGGTGGGTTAGTCCCAGCAGGGACTGTTGCCAGCCAATGTCACTATGATTCAGAAGGGGGATCTCTAGTGCAGGGGAAATGGAATGGAAGGTGGACTCAGGCCTGAGGAAGGAGGAGGAAGTCAGTGGGGGTTCCAAGGACAGCACCCCCATCTTCACAGTTTTGCTTGACTGGTCCTGCAGTGAGTGCCCTCTGACCCAGGAAGAAGTACCCAGGATATTAATTCTCAATGAGGTAGGGAAGAGAAAATCCCACCTGCTGTCCTGCTTCAAAGTTAAACACTCATCTCTCTCTTGTTCCTAAGGAGAAGTGGAGGCCTCTCAGTTAAGCAGACAGAATATAAAGAAAGATGGTAAGGAACTTGGTGTAGCAGACCTGCTTTTTCCTGTCTGGCTGGATTTCTAGGGGTGAAATAGCACAGTAGCAATCATTACCCACCTCTGTTGTATGCCCAGCAGTTTACGTATTACTCAGCTCAGAATCAACTCAACAGGGTGGGACAATGGTTCCCATTTTGCAGATATGAAAACTGAGGTTCCAGGCTGAGGAGTGGCCTTACAGCTCGTGAGTGGTGTGGCCTGAACTTGAGCCCTGGTCCTCTGCTCTTTCTGCTATGCACAGTCACTAGGATGGTAAATGCCTTCCAGGCCTCGTGGCCAGGATGGGGAGCTGGAGGTCAGCTGAGCTGAGAGAGTTGTAAGGTTAGATTAGACCAGACTCTGGGAAAGGAGCAGTGAAAATGGGAGTAACCTCCCCGCTCCAGGCCTGGAATCCATGGGGACTTCTAGGAGGAAGGGGAGGGCAAGAGGAAGGACCATGGTGCTCAGCACAGAGACGTTTTGTAATTAAAAAAAAAAAAAAAAAAAAAAAAAGGCCAGACATGCTGGCTCACAACTGTAATCCCAATACTTTAGGAGGCCGAGATGAGAGGATTGCTTGAGGCCGGGAGTTCTGGGAGTTCAAGACCAGCCTGGGCAACATAGCAAGACCTTGTCTCTACTAAAAATTTAAAAATGCGTTGGGTGTGATGGCATGCACCTGTAGGCCTCGCTACTTGTGAGGCTGAAGCAGGAGAATTGCTTAAGCCTAGGACTTGAAGGTTGCAATGAGCTGTGATCACACAACTGCACTCCACCCTGGGTGACAGAGCAAGACCTTGTCTCCTCTGCCCCCAAAAAAGAGAGAAAGCAGCAGATACTGATTCCCCACCCCTGCATTCACAGATGAGTTTTTCCATTTCGTCCTCCTGTGCTTTGCCATCGGGGCCTTGCTGGTGTGTTATCACTATTATGCAGGTGAGGGGAGGTGCCCTGGGGAATGCACCAGGGGAATGGCATGGGGGGGTGCAGGGGGCAGGGGCGTCAAGACCTGGAGGCTGACCATTCCTTCCCTCACTGCCCTTCCAGACTGGTTCATGTCTCTTGGGGTCGGCCTGCTCACCTTTGCCTCCCTGGAAACCGTTGGCATCTACTTTGGACTAGGTAAGCCCCTCCCCAGCATGTACACACACACAGGCTCTTGGAGGGGTGATGGGTAGAAATACTCATTTTCATACTTATTCAAGCGTGGGCCAGAGAGTCACAATCTACACTTTAAAACAAATTTTCCTTATGCTCATGTTTTCTTCCTGACCACTTTCAAGGTCAACGTAAGGTCACTGGCAAAACCCTGTGGGAAAAATGGGCAGCTCCATACAATGCAACAGCAACAGTTTAAAGTGGCAAACAGGCTGGACCCAGGGCACACGCTCATGATTCCAGTTACTCAGGAGATTGGGGCAAGAGGATCGCTTGAGCCCAGGAATTTGTTCAGCCTGGGCAACATAGCAAGACTCTGTCTATAAAATAAATAGATAAAAGTGGCAAACAAAATAGAACTAGCCAGATACTGAAAACAAGTTAGTTAATGGAGTTGGGAACTGAATTTGGCAAGTGAGTTTCCTGCCACTATTCCTGCTGTTCACGGTTGTTGTTTTCAGTAATAATAACTCGAGTACCATTATCTAAGCTTAACCTGCTGCCTGAAATTCCGCCATCAGAGCTTTGTTTGCATGAGTTAGGTCCTTGTCCAATGGTGGCCAGGTATCCCTTGTGGGGGTACAAACTTAACTCACTTTTTCTTTGCTTCTGAGCAGTGTACCGCATCCACAGCGTCCTGCAAGGCTTCATCCCCCTCTTCCAGAAGTTCAGGCTGACAGGTAACTTTTAAAGTCTTCCTGTGTTCACTCTTTTTCTCCCTAGCAGGGTCTTCATTTAGAAAGAGACTTAGCATACAGGAAAGAACACAGCCCGGAGGCAGAGGACCCAGGTTCGAGTCCTACCTCTGCCAGTTTACTAGCTCTGTGACCCTGGATGAGCCATGTAGCCTTGGCTTCCTCAACTGGAAAATAGATGTAATACTTTTCTGCTACACAAGTGTGTTGTGAAGATCAAGTGAGGAATGGATGCAAAGGCCTGAAGTGTGAAACAGTAGAAAAATGTTAGTCTTCATTCTCTTATAGAGCTTTACACTTCCCCAAACACTATCTTCTCCATGGCTATACTTGCCTAATAGCAACTGGGGAGGTAGGCTTTAGCAATGCTACACTTGACCAATAGGAAACTGAGGCTCAGAGAGGTGGAGTGACTCGCCCACAGTCACACAGCTTCAGTGGCTGGGCTGGGCGAAAGCACATCGTCTTTCTTGACTGACAGCTCTGTGACCACCTTATGTCTCAGAATGGAGAGGCCAAGTGGCTGTGCTGGGGAAATATCTGTCTCCTTTAATCCATGTAATAAATAAAAAGAAAACTAGCTATTATGACAGTGGGTCATTGAGACCCATGGCTTCTGGGGTGACTACATCATGCCAGCTGTGAGGGGTACTTGGGCATCTGAGGTGATGGTGGGGATGAAGCCTGCTGCCTTCAGAATCCCATGCCATCTTGTGGCCTTTGCCTTCCAGGGTTCAGGAAGACTGACTGAGGCCACTGCCAGGTGGGCAGCAGAGGCAGGCCCCACTGTGACCACCACTGCGACACCTGAGCCCACAAGGACAGACCGGCATTCTGAGAGATGCGCAGGAGAGCAAGCCAGACTAATAAAAAGAACGCTTTTCCTTCCATGTGGTCTGAATGTTGGCACCAGCCCAGGCAGGGGCATCATTTGGGCAGTACTGCTGTGCAACCCAGCTGCCAGGATGGAAGGCAGAGGGTGGGCGTGGGGCCTGAGCCTTCACAGTACCTGGACCAACAGGAAGATTCTGGGAGGTCATTGCTCTCAGAAGATAGCAAGAGACCATGGGCTCTGCAAGCTGTGATCTGTCTGGGTCATGGTTTTTCTCAAATCCCAGGCCATCCGGGTATGCTCTCAGGTGCTACCAAGCCATCCCGGGAGAGATGGATAGTCCATTGCCCTGAGGCAGGGAGCCACCAGGTTGGGGTCCCTTGGTGAACCTGATGCAGGTAAGATGCTGGGGACTAAAACCATTTTTTTGCACCCCCCCAAAAAAAGGCAGGAAAATGATCATCAGAAACAAAATGGCAGCCAGGCATGGGGGCTCACACCTGTAATACTAGCACTTTGGGAGGCTCAGGCTAAGGGTCGCTTGAAGCTAAGAGCTCAAGACCAGCCTGGGCAACATAGTGAGACCCCCATCTCTACAATTTTTTTTTTGTTGTTAATGACCAAATGTGGTGGTACATACCTGTACATACCTGCAGTTCCAGCTACTCAAGAGGCTGAGGCAGGAGGACTGCTTGAGCCCAGGAGTTCAGGGCTCCAGCAGTCACTCCACTCCACGATCAAGCCACTGCACTCCAGCCTGGGTGACAAAGCAAGACACTTTCTCTAAAAATTAAAAAAAAAAAAAAAAAAGAACAAATAAAAATTGCATATATTTATAGTGTACAACATGTTTTGAAATATGTGGAATGGGTAAATCAAACTAATTAACATATGTATCACCTCACATACCATTTTTTTAATGATAAGAACAGTAAAAACCTACTGTCACAATTTGCAAGTATACAATATATGTGTTTTAACTATGATACCCATGCTATATGATAGATCTCCTGAACTTGAACTGAGTTCTTGATGGTCACAGACACGCTGTTCTCAAAACTCAGAAAGGTAAATTCTGGCCAGGTGTGGTGGCTCATGCCTATAATCCCAGCATTTTGGGAGGCTGAGGCGGGTGGATCACAAGGTCAGGGTTCGAACCAGCCTGGCCAATATGGTGAAACCCTGTATCTACTAAAAAAAAAAAAAAAAAAAATTAGCTTTATTTTTTTCTTTTTCTTTTTTTTTTTCTCGAGACAGAGTTTTGCTCTTTTGCCCAGGCTGGAGTGAAGTGGTGTAATCTCAGCTCACTGGCAGCTTCCACCCTGACAAGTCAAGTGATTTTCCTGCCTCAGCCTCCTGAGTAGCTAGGGAATTATAGGTACCTACCACCATGCCCGGCTAATTTTTTATTTTTAGTAGAGAATGGTTTTTCCCACTATTGGCCCAGGCTGGTCTTGAACTCCTGACCTCAGGTGATCCACCCGCCTCGGCCTCCCAAAGTGCTAGGATTACAGGCGTGAGCCACCGAGCCTGGCCCTGGCTGTGATTTTGGTCAAGTCCTCCTCTCTCCCAGCCTCAGTGTTCTCATCCGTACAATGGGGAGCATAACAGTGCCCACCTTACGGTGTTATGTTGAGAACTGCATGAGATACTTACGTAAAGTCTTATGCACAGACTCTGGCACATAGGTCATGCTCAGTCAATGGGTGTTATTATAGTAGACAGGAACACAAATCAGATCCCCTTAGGGTCAGGCAGGCAGAGTCGGCAAGATGTAGAAAAATGGGGGCTGGGCGCAGTGGCTCACACCTATAATCCCAACACCTTGGGAGGCCAAGGTGGGTGGATTGCTTGAGCTCAGGAGTGTGGTGGTGTGTACCTGTGGACCTAGCTACTTGGGAGGCTGGAGTGGGAGAATCGCTGGAGCCTAGGAAGTCAAGGCTGCAGTGAGCCATGATCATACCACTGCACTCCAGCCTGGGAGACAGAGTGAGACCCTGTATCAAAAAAATAAAAATGAAAAAAGTAGGGAGCAGGAATAGGGGAACAGAAGAGCATATACCTGACCAAAGTGGGCAGCTGCTGTCTAGCAATTTCAGGTGAGAACACCAGCTGAGTGGGATCTGTCAGCCAAGAGAATGAAAACCACACCAGGTGCTTTAACAGAGAGAATGTAATAGAGGGGACATGTTAACCAGGTGCAGGACTACTGGAAAGACAAAAAGGGACTGTGGTATCACAAAGTGTAACTGAGGGAACTGCCTAGGGTTAGAGGGAAAAAGGAAAGAGGTTGGCACTATTAGAAGTGAGAGGCCAGGTGTGGTGGTTCAGTCTATAATCCCAGCACTTTGGGAGGCCCAGGAGGGCCGATCACCTGTGGTCAGGAGTTCGAGACCAGCGTGGCCAACATGGTGAAACCCCATCTCTACTAAAAATACAAAAATTAGCCAGGCTTGGTGGTGGATGCCTGTAATCCCAGCTACTTGGGAGGCTGATGCAGGAGAATCACTTGAACCTGGGAGGTGGAGGCTGCAGTGAGCCGAGAGCGTGCCACTACACTCCAACCTGGGCAACAGAGCAAGCCTCTGTCTCAATAAATAAATAAATAAATAAATACAAATGTCCATCAGTGACAGACTGGATTAAGAAAATGTGGTACATATACACCATGGAATACTATGCAGCCATAAAAAAGGATGAGTTTGTGTCCTTTGTAGGGACATGGATGCAGCTGGAAACCATCATTCTCAGCAAACTATCACAAGAACAGAAAACCAAACACCGCATGTTCTCACTCATAGGTGGGAACTGAACAATGAGATCACTTGGACTCGGGAAGGGGAACATCACACACCGGGGCCTATCAGCGGGAGGGGGGAGGGGGGAGGGATTGCATTGGGAGTTATACCTGATGTAAATGACGAGTTGATGGGTGCTGACGAGTTGATGGGTGCAGCACACCAACATGGCACAAGTATACATATGTAACAAACCTGCACGTTATCCACATGTACCCTAGACTTAAAGTATAAAAAAAAAAAAGATAAAAGACTGATTTTTAATAATAAAAATAAAAATATAAATAAAAATAAAAAAATATTATATTTAATAATATAAAAATAAATAAATAAATTTATTTATAAATAAAAATAAATAAATAAATAAATTTATTTATAAATAAAATAAATAAATAAATTTATTTATAAATAAAATAAATAAATAAATAAAGTATGAGAAGATTGAGAGAGGGTCCTCCAGAGCTGGGACCGAGACCTCTGGGGAAAGGGCACTGCTCAGCTGGGAGGTGTCTCTGAGGGGCCTGAGGAGGCTGGTTCTGCAAGTGCGAGACCACTGGGGTCAGATCTCCAGTTTCTTAGCAGAAGCCCCAAATCTAGAGTTTGGCAACTTTTTTTTTTTTTATTTCCACTTCTGCTGTGGAAAACAGTATAGTGATTCCTCAAAGAACTAAAAATAGAATTACCATATGATCCAGCAGTTCTACTTCTGTGCATATGCTAAAAAGGGACTCGAAGGGATATCTGTACACCCATTTTCACAGAAAGATTATTTCCAGTAGCCAAAAAGGGGAAGCACAAGTGTCCATCAATGAGTAAATGAATAAACAAAGCATGATATATTATCAGCTTTTAAAAAGGGAAATTATTTGAGACTTCACAAAAAAACAAAAACCAAAGGGGAAAAAAATGGAAATTCTGGCCAGGCATATTGGCTCATGCCAGTAATCTCAGCACTTTGGGAGGCTGAGGTAGGAGGATCACTTGAGCCCAGGAGTTCAAGACCAGGCTGGGCAACACAGCAAGACTCCATTTCTGCAAAACATAAAAGCATTAGCCAAGCACGGTGGCACATGCCTGTGGTCCCAGCTACTTAGGAGGCTAAGGTGGGAGGATCACTTGAGCCCAGGAAGTGGAGGCTGCAGTGAGCCATGATCATACCACTGCACTCCAGTGGCTGAGTAAGACTCTGTCTCTAAAAAAAGTAAAAATAAAAAAAAAGAAATCCTGACACATGCTACCACACAGATAAACCTTGAGAACATTATGTTAAAAGGACAAATACAGTTATGATTCCACATATGTGAGGTACCTAGGGTAGTCAGATTGATAGAGACAGAAAGTGGAATGGTGGGTGCCGGAGGCTGCAGGACAGGGAATGAGAGTTAGTGTTTAATGTTCCCAAACAGAAAGTCAGTTTGGGAAGATGAGAAGAGCCCTAGATATGGATGGTTGTGATAATTGCACAACACTGTGAAAGTATTTAATGCCACTGAACTGTACACTTAAAAATGGTTATGGTGGTTAATTTTATGTTATGTCTATTTTACTTTTTTTTGTTGTTGTTGTTATTGAGACGGAGTCTCGCTTTGTCACCCAGGCTGGAGTGCAGTGGCCGGATCTCAGCTCACTGCAAGCTCCGCCTCCCGGGTTTGCGCCATTCTCCTGCCTCAGCCTCCCGAGTAGCTGGGACTACAGGTGCCCGCCACCTCGCCGGGCTAGTTTTTTGTATTTTTTTTTTTTAGTAGAGACGGGTTTTCACCGTGTTAGCCAGGATGGTTTCGATCCCCTAACCTCGTGATCCGCCCGTCTCGGCCTCCCAAAGTGCTGGGATTACAGGCTTGAGCCACCGCGCCCGGCCTATTTTACTTTTTTTTTTTTCTTTTTTCTTTTTTTTTTTTTTTTGAGAAAGAGTTTCACTCTGTCGCCCAGGCTGGAGTGCAATGGCCCCATCTCGGCTCACTGCAACCTCCGCCTCCCAGGTTCAAGCGATTCTCCTGCCTCAGCCTCCTGGGTAGCTGGGACTACAGGCACGTGCCACCATACCCGGCTAATTTTTTGTAGTTCTAGTAGAGATGAGGTTTCACCGTGTTAGCCAGGATGGTCTCAATCTCCTGACCTTGTGATCCACCTGCCTCAGCCTCCCAAAGTGCTGGGGTTACAGGCATGAGCCACCGTACCCGGCCACTTTCTTTTCTTTTCTTTTCTTTTTTTTTGAGATGGAGTCTCACTCTGTTGCCCGAGCTGGAGTGCAATGGCACGA